GTCCTCAGTTCTTTCGCCCCATCCGTCGCAAACATTGTTGATGGAACCGCTCGTGATATCGCACATCCCGCCGGTACATCGTTCACATTTCACTGCCGTATAGAAGAATGGACAGCACCCTGAATTTGTACACCATCAGCTTTGTGCCAATGGTAAGCTGATGTTTGTTCCATACTCAAGCTTCCTGAATGCCGCCGCAGCCTTCCATACGCGGATACGCAGCTCACTGTGTTGCTGCTGATCAGTCGACATCACACTCCCAAGGTAGCTGAAGCGGGAGGTGGTTTCCAATACTTCAGCACCAATGTTGATTCGCGGCAATATTAAAGATTGCACCTCTGGTGAAGCCTCAAAGTGACAGCCAGTTTTGCTTGTATTGATGATGAGCCTGAATTTGGCCGCTGTCGAAGCCAGAACACTAGTCATGTGCTGCAACTCATTCGCACTGTGTGCAAACAACGCACAGTCGTCAGCAAACAGCAACATACGGATAATTGTCTCACAGACTAGAGTTCTCGCACCGAAACGACGGATGTTCATCAACCCACCATTAAAAGGGTGCTCCAAACATTCACCGTAAGCATATACGGTATGAACAGCACGAGACATCATTGCATGAAGATATATATTAAAGAGAGCAGGAGCTAAAACACAACCTCGTTTCGCACGCGAGACAGCTGCAAAGTCATCCGAGGTTTGTCCACTCAGGTGCACCCTCGCCCACATACCACTGTGCAGATATTCAATTTAAACTTTACACGGGCAACCAAGCTTACCCAATACCAGCCACAATGCCTCGCGGTTCACCGTATCCAATGCCTTGGTAAAATCAATCAAAAGCGAGTACAACGGCTGGTGCCATTTACTGCATTTCTCCTGCAACTGACGAGTCGCAAACACCATATCTATAGTGCTGCGACCCGAACTGAATCCACACTGCTCTTCCGCCACGTTCGGATCCACAACCTGACTGACGAGGCGCTTGAGCAGGATTCGGGCAATCACCTTGCTCACATAACTCAACAAATTGATGCCATGATAATTCGTGGCATATTACTTGCTCCTTTTGCCCTTGTACAGTGGTAGCACAAGGGCATCCTACAGCTCTGGAGGCACCTCCTCCATCCATACGTGTTGCACCAAGTGGTGCAGCACAGTCACCGATGCGGGTCCGTTGTGTTTCAATCCTTCAGGCGGGATCCCGTCGGCACCGGCACACTTGCCATTTCGCCGCTGAGCAAGTGCTCTCTGCGTCTCATCCACTGTCGGTGTCCGCCAAACTCACCTTCACATCGTTCTGCTCAAGACAGTACAAACTAGGCCAGTCGTTCACTGAACGATTGTTCAAGAGACAGTCAGCGTTTTTGCCAGATCTGCATTATGTCTGTAATCCGTGTGCAGCTAGTGCCTGAACTACCATCGATCAGCGTCCTCAGCGGCTCCAATCTCGGTCCATACACCGCCTTCAAGGAGTCAAAGAATTCCTTGTGTTGGCGGCGTTCGGCGTAGCATTCCATCTGCTTCGCCTTCTCCGTCCACCATGCATTTTTTATGCGACGGAGCTCTCGAGTCAGTTGCCGTCGAAGTTTGCGAAACTGACTACTCTTCCCCAAGTCACTGGGGCCTGCCACATGAGCAGCAAATGCTGCATTTTTCTCCGACACCAATGCGCCAATCGTCGCATTGTTCTCATCAAACCAATCAGGCCGCTTACAGTTTGTGCGCCCGATTGTCTCCTCGGCAGCAGCTGTCACTTGGTTGCGAATGTATTGCCACAGGTCGCCCACTGTGGCTATGCAGTCCACATCACACAGGCGTGCAGCCATGCCTTCTCCAGCTCAATATGTTTCGCCCCAGTACCGAGGTGGAGAATGTTAAATTTACGCCGATACACGGCAGGAGTGCAATACATAAATTTACGAAAATATGTGTAAAGTTTGGTCCGCACCGATTTATGATCAGTGCCACGCAGTACACGTCATGCGCAATTCCCATATATCACGCTGACATACGATGACAAAGTCGAACAGATGACCGTGACCGCTCCGTAGGTGCGTCCAAGTTGCTATATCACTCACACTCAGTGCAAACCGAGTGTTCGTGATTGTCAGGCCGTGAGTGGCACACAGTGAGAGCATCCTGTCACCGTTCACATTCCCTGAACCAATGCCATGCGAACCGATAACATCTGTCCACACCGATGCATCATGGCCAACGCGCGCGTTGAAATCACCCAACAGAAATAGTCGGTCGTTCCTCGGCACAAACAGTAACATGGAGGATAGCTGATTATAGAAGCGAGCACGCGTGTCATCAGGCCAACACGTGGTCTAATCGTACGTACTTAAAAGGTGGTAAGCTTACCTCTTCCGAATCATATGCGAACAATCATTAGTCGCGCGCTGATGCCTGTTGGTTCACCCATTAGCTGGCTATGCAGGCGATTGGATATTGCAAATTGACTCCATGTTCACGTGTCGCTTTGGTGGCGTTGCCCACCCAGTAGAATGTGTAGCCAGCACCTGCTTCATACAACTTAACTTGCTCAGCGAGCCGGGTTTCACTGAGCGCTGCAATATCGATGTTGTAGCGCGCCAGTTCCATCGCGACCAGTGCAGTGAGTCGCTCTGGGCGCTCGCTGGAGTTCCGGTCCAGTAGTGTGCGCACGTTCCAGCACCCGATGCTGAGTGCTTTGCGCGCAGGCATACGATTGCATTGGTGGGCAATCGCACGCGAGTTGTCAGATGTGCTTCGGGGGTTTGCTTGAGGGGCTCTACCCTGAGCCTTTGGCACAAGGGCCTGCCCCACAAGGTAGTGGGTTGTTTGGAGGTTTGCTTGAGGGACTCCGCCCGGAGGCTTTGGCTCAAAGGCCTGACTCACACATATACTTACATTTATATCCACACACCAATTAAGTATGCTGCTGGTTAACTTGCTGTATTTTTATACGATTACCGTCCATACGTGTTTGCATCATCATGGTCATGCCTTCGCAGGCTTGCCTCACACTGGCGGGAATACAATATTTTTTATTTATTTAAATCAAATCTTCGTGTGATTTTGAAACGTTAATGACTAAGGAATAGATTCTTAAGGGGTAAACTAATTTCTGTAAATACAAAGAATCCGCAGTGCAAAGTGTAAAATAATATTCCGATGTGAGCAGCAGCGACCGAATTTGAAGCGAGTCGCTTCGCAACCGTATTATGACGACCTTTTACACTTCACTAGGTGCTTAACCCTCACCATACTTTCCTGTTGGGTACATTTTATTCACGTTATCACGACTGTTTATAGTAACTTGACTCCTTTTATTAAGTATGGCAGAAAAGTTTCTTTTCCGTTTCCGATATACCGCACCTCCAGCGGTTCTTGCACGTTTTTGGGAGCATATTCTATCGCTTAGTTAGAGGAGCGGAGCGCGTCAGAGATGCTCCCTCTCTCTCTCGATTTTTAACTTTGTTATGGAAACGACCACAACCCATGCTTCTTTGTTTACTTTCGTTCCTCTAGTAAAGATCCCGTTAGGTTAATGACTCAAATTTAGAGTGTGCCGACAACGTTGCTCTCTCTGGGTCGGACCTAGCTGCTTTGTTAACGATATAACATAGTTTGACTCCATGTGCAACACGTTTTCTCCTGTGTTTCGTTCCCTCATAGTGTTGTAGGGATGGGTATGATCAACGGCTCGCCGATTTGCTGCCTTGTAACTTTGTTGTTTTGTATACGATACCTGTTAGCGCTTACTGGCTTCCAGCGAGAGCTATCTGTTTACCAACTTGTCACTAATTGCTAGCATTGAATGACCCAGTGTGAAATGATATTTCGTGTTTAGAAGATCATGGAACAAGTTTACCGAAAAACTGTTATGTGGTCCTGAGCTGCACACCGTTTCATCGGAAAACAACATCGTCGTTGTGACGATCCAAACTTCTGTTAACCTGTCCCTTAATTTTCCACTTGAATGCGTTGTTGACTTTGTTCTTATTTCCAATATACAGCGTATATTCCTCACTTGAAATTCCGTGATCAGTTTGAGCATTTAACAAACACAAATCCTTGTGGCTCGATACGATATCCGCCATTTGTCTCCGCGATAACCGCAGCTTTTTGTTTGATCACAGTGTCTGCTTCCACCCTCATTTCTATTTAGCTACCTAGTCACACTGTGTTGACTTTTCACACGGCGCATTCAACTTGTTGCTGGCTGTTTGCTTACATTTACTCTCCTACCTTTTATATATGCACAACTCAATCCTGCCTCCTCCATTGCTATCGTGACTCCTCTTCTGGATCGTTGTTGTGTGCTTCTTATCGTTTGTGTATTCACTGTGACGGTTGTGATCTATTTTACGCACTGTTTTCGTTTGCTGGAAATTACATCATCCCTTAGTGAGTTTCTTTGTCCCACCCCATCCCTCTTAGCCTCCCCCTCCAACCACGATCTCATTATTTAGTCTTATATAATTTTGCATAGTAATTTTTTTGATACACAGTGGCCGGCTGGTAGCCTAGCGGAACAATGCCCATCCGTTACCGGTAGCTCAGCCAGCTTGCACCAGTTGCATTTTTCTCTCCTTTTTTCTGTGTATTGCGGCACAGTAAGTGAGGTGTTCCCCACCTCTAGCTAACGTGTATGATGATGCTGATGATGACATCATCCCTTATGCTTTGTGTGATTGTGATCTTCTTACGAACTCAGTGTAGAAGCTTCTTTGGCACATTGTCTTCCAAAACTAATCCTCCCTAACCACGTGACGCGTTCCGCACACTTCAATTGATTCTTCCATGTATTTGCACATTAATTGCCATGGTATTCTTTTTTGATTGACATTGTTTTCGCTATAATTCGTTCCCTGCACCTCATTGTTTTCATCCGATGCAGTTGCTTACGCAAGGTGCCCATTCTCTTAATGCCCATTTTGTGTTTTTTTTGGCATGTGACGAAGCCGTTTCATGTTTTCCGGTCTTAATATCTCCTACTATTATCCTGTGCACAGATAACGGTTCGATCCGGAGGGTTAAAGTTGCTTCAGGTGCAAGACAATGGCAGTGGGATCCGCGTGTCCGACTTACCGCTTCTTTGCGAGCGATTTACAACCAGCAAACTCAGAGTGGGTTTCACTTTTATGTTCCCAACTGCCGGCTAGTTTTATTCCTTTTTGTCAGTGTTTTTCAAATCGATGTGTTCTCCATTTTTGTTTGGTGCAACTTTCCAGACACCGTCGACTTCACTAGGAGGAGTGTATGGTTAGCAACTCCCATCGCAGCTGTTCGTCCCCTCGTTTTTCCTTTTTGCCTACAATGTGTCTCATTCTTCCAGCTTTGTGCATCCAAAAGCTAACGCGGGCGCCGAATCACAGTGTTTAGATTCTTCGCGTGAATTCATCCAAATTTCGGGCACTCCGTACCCATATCCTGATATTACTTTTTGTAAGCTTAGTACATAGAATGTGGTCCTTTTTTCACGTACTTCTCTGGACCCATACATTCGCTCTCACTAGAATAGCCGATTGGTATACGTGTCGTCGATCTACAACCGCTATGACACTGCCACAGTGTCTCAGACTTCTTCCGTTTCGTGGGATGGACGACTAGATTCACTGTGTCACTCCCACTGCTTGTGGTTGTCTGTGAATCATATCCAACTCTGGGAACGCCTCTTGCTTTGCATATTCTGCTGCACCCGAGTCTGTATCCGTTTGTTTCGACAGCGGCAACTCAAGTAGTAAGGATAATCTGTATTGTGATTGCAGTTAATCGCTGTTACCACGGAGTCGTAACTGTTAGATGTGGTGGCGCCAGACTTCCCCTTAGACATCGAGTAGGTGGGTAACTGCTAATTCATCCTATAACTTCACCAGGCGATAATCTCTAGCCCACACTAGCTCACTGGTTTTAAGATTCCTGACGGCACCTTCTTGTGGTGAGACACGTACGTACTAGTCCGGTCTGCCAATTGTCTTCTCGTTTAGGATTGTCTGTGTCTCAAACAGACCTGTTCTGTCTGTCTTTACCATCTGATATGGCTTTCAATTGCACACGGGGTGTAGAGTGATACGGCACACCATGCGAAGGACTTGTATGTTCTTGTCCATGGAGTCATTCTCTCACGCTATTATCAGTCGCTGTTTGAACATATCAACAAATCGCTGAACTTGCACATTTGAATGAGACTGGGAAGATGACGTTCCCATGTACGTAATAATATTGTAGTGAGAAAGTGTTACGCTTTCTGGACATGAACTGTGACCCATTGTCTGACACTAGTGTTTCGGGCATACCAAAACGACCGTAAAACTGGAGCTGCTGTTTAATTGTGGCTGATGTCCTGGTTGTGGTGGTTGTGTGACGTCTGACCACTTCGAATGTGTGTCAGCCGCAGTGAGATGTAATCTACTCTTAACTGGGCCGACAAAATGCAGCTTACACATGCTGTGACAGAGGGGCCAATCAATTGGGTGCTGACTGCGCTATCACACATTGCTCACATGGTTTACAGGGGTGTGTGATATTGTCGTTCATTTTCGGCCCATAGATGTAACTTCCGACTGGCGCTTTGGTTCGGATGATACCTTTGATGCCCTATTGTGGAGTAGAATGCACATTGGTCACCAAACGCGTCGCGCAAATTAAACATGGCACAACGATTTATAAACTGCCCTGATACAGATTTTGTGGGATGAGTACGGAATCTTTTATTATGTTGGCCGGCCTTATTTCATATGCTTCATTACCTTACAAATCCCCGCATGATTTGATACTTCGCTTTATCACTACCTGTGTTCTTTCACATTAGACTTACTGCTCTCCAGTGTTTTTTTCTGCTCTACTGGGTAAACATTTCAGATTAATCTTGTGACCGTTAAAACACTTGTCGCGATGTAGCAGTGTGTCAAAACTTAATATACTTGTGTCCAAACATCCTGGTTCTTCCAAGAGACTAGCGTCAACAGCATTTGCTGATACAAGCAATCCCTTTCATTGTGTATTGTCAAAATGTGTGTCGACCTCGTCAACCAACCAGTAGTACTAATGCGTATGTGCCCGAATAGCAGCTTACTGTCCGTCACTTTTTCCTTATCTAGTGCGAATTTCGCTACGCCCTAACAAAGTTTTCCGAGGGCTAACCGACCGACTATGGTAGTATTGTGTCTTACCCTATACTAATTCCCCTTTTTTGAATCGCATTTTTATCATGCGGCATCGCCGAAAATGTGTGTCCTACGGCTGAATATTCACCCGTCGTGGGTGCATAAGGCACTTTCTTGACTTGACTTGAAGTGTGGTATGAATGTGTTTCGCATAAACATCAGCGGAACTGGAAGACATTTTGCGGTATCTTGGACCAAACGATTGATTTCCCCATCCCTCTTTAATAATAACAATCACCGTGTTGTTGCTGTCGGCCGGATGATCAGCACTTAGCTGTGACAGAGCATCGGCTTGCCCCGAATTCGTCGTCCATTTGTGCTTGATGCTAAAGTCGTAGGCTAGTCGCGATAGATCCTACATTCGTAGACGGCTGGTGGTGGTTCTCGGGATATTTTTCTGAGGGCTAAATATAAGTAAAGCTTTGTGGCTAGTAAGTCTCGTAAAACGTCGACCTTTCACCATTTTCTGGAACTTTTGAACAGCAAATGCGATATCCATGACTTCCTTTTCTCTCTGAGAGTAATTTCTCTCTGTTGTCGCTATTGATCAGGCCAAGTGAATGACAGACTTCTCAGAATCATCCGGGAAAATGTGGGATATGGCTGCTCCGATACCATAGTCGCTTGCATCGGTGGCTACCACAATCGGAAACTTTTTATCATAAGAGAGATAGAACGTCCACAGATATTTTATCCCATTGACCTCTGTTTGACACTCAGCTGATCAGTTCCACTTGCCATTGTGGTCATGTTTTTCATTGGGCTTCTTTTCCTGTTGGTGAGGCGCTTTGAAGCTTTTTGAGAAAATTTCCGGCCCAGTCCCTTTTTAGATAACCTATATCAGTTTGCTTCGAGTTCAAGGTCCACACAAGACGCAGTGGCGCTTGTCTAGTGCATTCATTCTTGTCATCGCTACACAGTAAAAACGACTCCACATGTGTCTGCTTGCACGACTACTGTTTTTGCTTGTGTTAACCGTAAATTACTGTTGCAGAATCTACGGACATCTAGTTTTCGATCATCCCTAATATTTGCTAGATGTTTATTTAGAAAAACGTACTCAGCTCACTAAACTTGGCGGCAAAAAATCCTCGCCCCTTATCACAAATTCAAGGAGCTATTTAGGTACCATTCTTATTCTCTACTTACGTTACTTCTTTACCTGTCCCAGAAGCAGCTATTTTGATAAATACTCGTGAATCATAAAACCTCGGTCTCCTCATCGAAACTGCAAGCTTGCTTGAAGCCGAATATATCCAAGTGTAATGGCTTTATGTTTCCTCTACCTAAAGCGGCTCCTTTCTAGGATTTTGTCACGGAACGTCCCAAACTTTAAATTGATGGTGACAGTTTGAGCTTCCGTACCTTAGTAAAGAATCTTAGAGTCATTTTGAGCCACAATTTCTCGTGGTTACTCCACGTAACTCAAATTTTTAACATAGCCTGGCGAGCTTCGTTTTACGTCACGCGATTACAACCATCCTGCGAACCACACAATTTGATTCTAAAGTTCATCACTACGTGCATTCTCCCACGTTGGATTTATTTCTTCCCTGTGACTTCCATGTCTACTGTGTAAGCATTTCAAGCTATTTGGCAGGTCACTGAAACACCAGTTTCACTGCAAAGGCATTCCAAAAACCAACTTTGGCTCAAACAACTGTGTCTACACACGTTAACTCATGCACTAAATTTGCTTCCAAAATGCTCGCGGACATTAGCTACCATATTCACAATGCACTGCTCAACTGTATAACAGTATATGCCCACACGAGGGCTTATGGTTCGCCTGTCATTCCTTACTTATCCAAACTTCTATTTGACCGGAACGCTGTTACCCAAGAACTAACTGGTCGGTAAATTTTGCCAGAGGTTATCTTTTTCATTGGATCTTCTGCGGTTTGTTCCGCAGCTTTTTATTGACTTTTTGTCATGTCGATAGCATGTGTTACGGCTGAAAATTCCCCCCTTATGGGATCACAAAAACGCATTCTTGACTGGCTGACTAACTGACTCCTTTCATGAGTAGAGCGTTTAGGGTTCTTCGCAGCTAATGTATCCCAGGGAGGAAAGAACCTGGGGTACTCAAGTCTGTCGGTGCTCGCCGGTGGCCGAAAGGATTGCATGCCTGGTTTGTAATCCTTAGGTCACCGGTTCGAATCCGCGTAGGAGCGGGCTTCTTCGCGGTATACTCAGCCCACGCACAACCATTGGCGGTCGCTTGGCAGCGAAGCTTCGGTGCAGCGTGCCGGCCTACTTGACTTTCTGACCTGGCAATAATAGCTGGTATATTACCTGAATCAGATGTACACTGCAAGTCTCCAATCGTAGCCCTTTTTCAACCCGGGATCTGATCAAGTCTCAGTGATTACTCATTTGGACTTGCTCCCACAAAGTGTTCCGTGACCTCCATCTTTCGAAGGGGTGTTCGTGATCACGATGCACCATTGTTACCACTGCACTGAACATGGAAGATCACTGATTTTGCAAGGCGCAGCCTGATATTCAACATTCTCGATCCTGCTACTCACTGCTTACATCATCTAAAAATCTATGATCCATGGGTCAAAGTGTAGTGGTTCAATTTTCAATATTTCTTGTAGTCGTCGTTGTAGTACTGGTTGAAAGGGTAGGGAAAGGGGAGACTGATGGGCTGCAAAAGATAATTTGAAGGAAGGATCAATATGACGGTGCACTCGTCTGATTGTTGTGTCAGGACCGGTGAATTGCTTCAGCCCACTACGGTAGTGAGAACGGGATTCTTTGTATCGATACACTGCATTGCTTATATAGCATTCACGTTGGTTTCGGAATATTCGATGACTTGATGATCACAGAGGTTATACCCACCATCTGCAGTTAGTTATTCGAAGTAGTGAAATCATAAGATGCATCACCGAGTCCTTGCACTTTGAATTGAGACATTGCACTAAAATACACGGCACAATGAGTTGATCTATTCCTCAAGTTTCTATACACATTGACTGAGCTCCCCAACGATCTTTCATTTTCACTTATTTCCTAGTAAAACCTGTTATGGAGTGTAAAATGATGCTGTTTCCTAGTCCTAAGCACATTGATCCTTGTCTTCGCTCAACATATCGACCAAAATTGGTCTCATCTTGTCTTTAGCTTTTTTCGAATTATGCGCTTATCCGTTTGCTTATGTTCTTGTTTTATCGGGACGAATCACATTGGATCACGTCAGTCATTGGTTGGCCTCACTCGCTGATGGTTATAGTATTTTTCAGGAAATATCAGGCTTATCTGCTTCGCTATTGATCACGCAGAACCAAAGCGACTATCTCTTTTGTGTGTTGATTAAAGGCGCTTTATACTGGTTGTCGTAGGCCACCGGTGCTGCCTTATCGGGATTCCATTTCTTAATTGAGTTCGAGTCCTCTCTCTCGTTATTCAACCACTATGGCGGCTGGCTGTTTCTATGCATCACTCAACAATGGTCATGTTATCTGCTTATACTAAAGGACATTGAGCATGAAGACACGTTGGACCACGTTAGACTCTTACTTTCATTCCAATCTCTAGCTCCTTGCTGCGTGATACCTTTGAAAACAAACTTTTACTTATTTACCTAAATTAACTGAGCTAAGGGATAACGCAGCTCATCCAAGCACTGGTTTCTTTCTTATCGTGGAACTTTTTCGCAAGACTACTCGATGTCGGTGTACCTTATTTACCGTCCATACAAATATGTAAATTTTTAAGTCGTGCATCTTCTCTGCTGTGTTCCAATGGTAAAGCTTGGTGTTTGCTACATACCTTTTTACATCCGGCCTTAATTTAGCAATTGGTGTCCCGCAGTTGTGCTCTTTCTATCCACTTTTGTTAGCCCAGATCGTCTTGTGCACGATCCACAATGAACACATTTTACTTGCGTCACAGCAGGTAGCTTATTTCCTGACCACTTCTCTCTCTCTGTCTCTCCCCAATACCATTTGGTGGCACATCTTGTGTCTGTTGCAAAACATACATACAGACCTTGTTTGTCAACACTTTACTTATGTGTCAGTTTCCTTTTTGGGCACCATTGCGTCCACGACGCTCAGGGACAGTCCGTGTTCCGTTCCTTGCACTGGAAATTGCGTACCATCAGTTATATACAATCCGCGTGTTGGACAACACCAAAATCACCAATCTACTATAGCTTTTAGACCGTTTCCTTTTGATCTGCCGTTTAATTTTAACAAAAGACAGGCATGTATGAAGCACCAAAAACGAACCGCCTCCTTTTGTGATATTGTTGTCCTCTCTTTGGCTCTCTTTCCTTCCATTCCCGCACTTGGTGTAATGGCACAGTTGTCTGTGCTCATACTTGTAAATAAATGGTCATTTGTTCTCTGCACACCTTTCACTATTAGTGCATCTCAAGCGAAGTATGTGTGGCAAATGTTGCACTTCCGTTCAACGTCATTCCTGCTTTCCAACCGCCAACATCGACCCCGCATTGTTTGACCCGATGCTATGTCCATAGAACTAGTTTCCGATTTTTATTGGAGGACAGCTAACTTACATTTGCTTTTGTCGAAACAAGACTTTGCAATTCAACCAGTTCGTGACTCCTCACGAAAAATGCCACGGTGCAGCGGACTACTTTTTCCCAGGAATCCAACCTGTGCGCCTTTACCTACTGAAATACCCGGTACTAATATTTTTAGTTACGGTTTACTAACTTACCTTTTACGATCCAGAGGCATCTCTAAAAAGGTGTTTTTGACACAACTCGCCCCATACAAACCTTGATTCTACCTCCTCGCCGACTTCTTTGGCCGGTGTAGCATAGGTGCACTCGGTATTCGTTCCTTTCTGTAGTCTAATCCGCTTAACGTCATTTGAAGTCGACATTTATTTGACTAATTATTGATCCTTGCCTTTTTTCGTATCCACTTTCAATGGATACCTTGGACTGCGTTCCATAAACACTGCTACGTGCGGTTTGTATCCTTGGCTGAAGGTTCCGCCCCTGGATAACTACTCACATTTTCCTCGAGTCGCCAGATACCATGGTTTCAACCATTATCGCTAATCAGCTCATCCGATGCCGCCTCGGTTCTGCGTCAATACTGGCACCCATCTTTTAGCCGTATGTGATACCATGACTGCATACATTCTTTCCGTCCAGTGATTATCCTACTGGTACTGTTGGATAAAAAACTTCAGCCGCTCACACCTGTCGGGACGGTAAACGGTTCTATCCTCTAGCTGGTTTACTGGAAATATTATGTCTCAATGTATACGTTGCATCATCCTGAGCGGTAATGCTGTTTCCGTGGCGCCTTTGGATTTGTATCTACTATGTCGTCAACCATGAAGTTAGGTACTTCTAATTAGCTGGAAGCTTTCAGAGTCCGACTTTGTGACTGGTTTACCTGATAAACTGTGACACGTCAACCCCTCATAGGGCGTCGACTTTCTATCTTGAAGGATATATGACAGATCTATTTCTAGTCGTCTTCATTTCCCCGCCATAAGTAGTTCACACCACAGTTTTTGAACTACACGACTCATGAGTGCCGTCTGTGTTCAGTTTGCCTATGGGTCGTACTTTCTCTTGACATGGAGTGTGCTAGCTCGCTTTCTACATTGCAATCGTGAACCATGTATATACCATTCTCAAGTACAATCTTATGGCACCAGCGTCCATATCTGGTTGAAAATGTTCCAGTCAATGTTCGCTGATGCCCAAGGGATTTGGATAAATCGGGGGTGTGTTCAATTCACTTGCATGCATTTGTGTCATTGTTGTTCGGTATTTCATTTTTCATTCATCAAGGAGTTCGAGGACCTCAGTAAACTGACCACTTTTGGTTTCCGAGGTGAGGCTTTGGCAAGCCTAAGTCATGTCTCTCTGCTCACTGTGACTTCGCGAACTGCGCACGAACAGTGCGCATACCGCGTGTCTTATCGCAACGGCAAACCCACAGAAAGAGCAATCGCTTGCGCTGGAAACCAGGGAACAACAATTTTAGCTGAGGATTTATTTTACAACACACCGCTTCGTCGCGCTGCTTTGAACAACCCTCGTGAAGAGTTTTCACGAATAGCGGAAGTTGTGTCCCAGTGAGTTTCATATTTCTCTTATGATACTCCCAAGATATACTGTGTCTATTAGACGAAAAACAGTTTAACAACAGTGTGCCCTACTTCTTATGCTCTTTTCACTTACAATCTGCATGTCGGGGAACCGTGCGACCTTTTCTTGCGTCGCGGGGCCTCGACTTTTGTTTCTGAATCCTCTTTGTTTTCTTGAAGGCACTTTTTCTACCCCTTATACTCAGTCGTTGTTTATAAACCCAAGTGGATGGTCATTTGGTCCACAGATATTTGGCGTAATAGATATCAACATTTTTTCCGCATCACGGTTCGTCCGTGTGTATTCCGGACCGAAGCAGCGGCTGACCCGTTTCTTCGGTATAGAGAAACTACATATTAAAAGATCACAACACAAGAATACACTTACTGTGGGCGCTAGTATTGTAAGTCGCCAGGTCCACTGGGCTGTACGGCTTTCGTCAACCAGTTGTCGCTGACGTTTCATCCGATCGATTCGTTATTAACATCTCGACAAACGCCCCATCAAGCTAACAACTCTGATTTCACCAAGGGTGCCGCAGAAGGGCGCATCGACTCTCGATTCTCTTTTCGTTATCTTTTGCCGTTTTTATCTGCCTGGTACTTCCATCTTTTCATTCGCGGGCGACCAACCGCAATGTCTAGTTCAAGTCAAGCATTCGCTTTTATGCACCCATGAAGAGTGAATTTTCAGCTGTAACGCACATGTGATCGAAACGGTAAAGAAAAACAATCTTATACACGCAAAAACCAAAAAAAAGCAGCAGCTAAAACAATGTTTCATGTGGGGTACTGGATCATTAACATAATTTGCTGTTTAGTTCTTGAATGATAACATTCAGATCAGGCAGAAATCTAGCTAATTAAGGTGTGACAGATGAGCCGTAAGCCTACGTGCGGGCATATATGGCTCTGTAGTTTCGTCGCGTTGAGGAACTAGATTTGCAGTTGGATAAAACGCTATGTAAAAAATGGATGATATCAGTGAGTATTTTCGAAGCAAGTTTTGAGCATGAATTAACGTGAGCAGACACAATGTGTTGAACTAAGGTTGGTTTAGAAATCAAATGAATCAAGGCCAGAAAACAGTTCAGGGTTAAGACATCTTTTCGGTAAAATCTCGTCAGACCAACTTTTACATGACACGGATTATGTGGGGTAAGCGTCAAATCGGGCTGGGATTGATTTCTTAGGTGTTTGAAAGGTCAAGATCGATGACTAAAGGTGGCTACAGATGGTAGGAAAAGTGCATCAAAGGTAATTAATACAGGCTTCAGGGCCTAAAGTAAATAGCTAAGGTTAAAAGGTTTAGAAATGCCACTGCATCGAGATATATGTTTCAGCGACCTATAAACTCGTTTGAAATGTTTACTCAATAGGCTCTGAAAGAGCACAGAACAGTGAGTCCAGTGTCGTAGAACATATGCAATGACGAATCACGGGATCAGCCGGTGGCAGACTGAGGGCGAACGAAGACGTGAGA